GAGAAGACAGCCAGAAAACATTTTAAAGACGAGGACATGCAAAATATTAAGGAAAAGTTAATTGAACAGATCCCCATAGCTGTGGATATGAAAAAGGTAGAGAAGCTACGGGATGTTTTTCTGGCTGGAGACATATCTTGGTTTTCATTGCGAATTTTTGCTAAAGAAGTTGGTCTAAAGGAAGACGTTATTGACAATATGTTTAATGAACACAACGTGTTTATTTATACTGCACATGCCCTACAGTATAGAGACTCTCGTGAACGGCTAACTTCAAATGTTAGTGATAACGTCCAAGCTTTAGTGACTCAGCGGGTTCACCAGGAGAATTGTCTCAATATTTACAAGGAGTTTGAAAATATAATTGTTCAACATAAAAAGGATTTGTGGTTGCAGGAATATTTATCAACACACAGAGAAATTGTGCGCCCCATGACAAGGTCACAAAATCCTAATAGAGGCTTCTGGATGAGGAGTTCAGGTAACAAATGATACTTTTCAAGAAGTGTATAAGAAATACCGACCAAATGTAGGGCTGTTGGGTAATGCTTGTCAATGTCGAAATTGTCCTTTTTACCTGATACCCAGTAAAAGGTATAATCAACACTTACATGTAGCACGTCATTATTCTTCAAATTATCCTCATCATTTGCACTCGGCAGCCTATTTTTGCAGGCATGAAGACATACCAGATGCTATCTTGTACCAAGAGTCTATTAGTAAGTCTCAATTAGATAATGCTTTCATTGAGGACCTTACATTTTTACTAAATATATATCGAGAAATGGCCCCCTACTGATGATTAATTATTTAATAATTCATCCAGGGCCACCCGATGTGGGTGGGCCAACTCAATTGTTATTATTGCTGTGACCACCTCTGTTGATTTTCCCCTACCTAAGCTTTATTAATTAAACTTGGCTCGTGCCATATTTAAGGTTAGTAGTAGTATCTATCATTCATGCCCTATTGTACTCACTACACAATTTTATGATATTAAATTGGGTGGTACTGTTTTTTTTTATAATATAATTATTGTATTTATGTATGTAGTTAGAAAAATATATTTATTGGAATGGTTGATTTCCTTCATTTTCCCAGAGCATCTTCACACAAACTTTATAGCATATTAACACAAACAAGGTTAAATCTGGCACACACACACACACACACACAAACAAACAAACATTAAGGCATTCAAATAAACAATGTTTATTTATTATAAACACTTTAATAATAGTGGATATTCTATTTTCTAGTTCACTCTCTTGTTGGTTGGTGGAATCTTCTGTGTTAACATCTTACGCTCGTTCTTGAGGTAAAACAACTCTTTCTTTTTCTTCCTCCCATATATATTCTATTTTCTAGTTCACTCTCTTGTTGGTTGGTGGAAACTTCATTCTTCTGTGTTAACATCTTATTCTCGTTCTTGAGGTAAATCAACTCTTTCTTTTTCTTCCTCCCTTATATATTCTATTTTCTAGTTCACTCTCTTGTTGGTTGGTGGAAACTTCTGGTAGATAACAACATTCTTCTGTGTTAACATCTTATTCTCATTCTTGAGGTAAATCAACTCTTTCTTTTTCTTCTTCAAGTGTGTTTCCATACTTTTCAATTTTTTAATCAACTCAGCTTGTCTCTGCCTAGGGTTAATCTGGGAAAGCATCTTCGTACAACTTTTTCTTGGAAGGGCAGCAAAGCGTGTGTGGTGGGCTGGCTGGATGGCCGTCCGTTAGTGGATGTAGTGAGAGTGGCCACGGATATTTATATATGTGGCTCAGCTAACACAGTGCTTCCGGCAACCAGCTATTAGTCAGAACCGGGACTTTTATGTGGTACTTATTACTATCTAGCTTATCTAGGCAATTCACAAACACAACGAAAACAACATATGTCCCATACAGTCCTGCCCTTTCGATAACCTACACTGAATAATAATTACCAAGGCAAAATTTAAAAAAATAAAAACATGCACACTTTTATTTAATGAAAATTACAGTGGAATTAATATGGAATGAAACATGTCAACCCTTTGTGACCATTGAAAAAAAAAAATCCTTATTCTTGCATCTTTCATATTGTTAAGCTAAACAATGTCCCAGGTTCTTTCCTAAGTGCATGCATTTGAAAATAATTTAGTTTTATTATCTTCTTAGCATGAAATGTTTCAGGATTGTTGTTATGGTAGTTTACATATATTATGTGTTTCTTCATACCCTAAAAAGATCAGAATATTTGCTATGATATATGAATCTTGATGATTCACCCTTGTTTGCTTCATTATGTGTTTGTTAAAATTCCTAACCTCCCATTGAATCTAGTTATATTTATTTTTAACAAGAGAGTTTAGAATTGTTACGCCTACATCCATTCCATTTATGTTTCTCCTACATTGCCAATGTATTTTCTCGGGCCAAACCATACTGAGCAACAGCGCTTGCAGTTTGTATTCGACTTCACGTTCAGCCATATATTGGCACATTCGTTCCTTATCCCTATGATTACTATTAATGTAATCTTTATATTCTGTCGTATATAGCTCTTGACTAGCCGATATGAACATAAGAGTAAGGCGGTTTATTTCATTCAACAGACAAGCACAAGTTGAACTACTCTCACCTTCTAAATGAAAATTACACTGTAGATCATTATTGCTGTTTTTATTTGTGGTATAGAAGGTAATACTCTTTGTGGAATCCTGGTATTCATTAATCAAATTTTGGGCGAGTAAATGACAAAGATTTGTAATACTATGTAAAACTGGTGGAAATGTATAAATATTACCCCGACGGTATAATACATTTCGAGATTCATTAAAAGATTTATTTATTGTTATTTTGTCTCCAAATGTGTGGATGTTCTTATTTCGGATATCGAAGACTGCCAGATTTTGTAAAACAGGTAATTGGAATAAGATTTGATTATTTCCATAGACCCAGACATATTTTATATCATATTCTGACACCAGAGTTTCTAGACATTCGCTTAAGTTATTTAATTCTTCTTGATTTTGGTTTAATTCTTCATCTGTTATTTCATCTTTGTTCGTTTTTGTATTTATATCTAGATACCTATTAATGCATTTGAAGGGGAAATGAAAGACCGATTTATCTACATAACAATAACCATTAGCCATATTTACTACTGAAGCAGAGGCTTCGTATAGGATATGTCGTTTATGGACATATCCATTCGATTCAGAAAAAGTTTGTATATAATTAAAAGCTAATAAAAAACAATTTTCCATTATTATTAAACCTCTATTTTTTTAAAGAAACAAATGTATATAAGTATAGTTTAATATTATCAGATGATATAGTTTAGTTTATTGTTCATAGCGTTGTTTATAATAACAATACCTGCTGGTCTAATTGTAAAACTTATTGTTCAAAAATTATAAGTATAACCGTTAATCAATGCTTTTTGGGGTTCAAACCAGCATATGTTTGATATTCTGTTAAAATAAATTTTTTTATGAATTTATTATAACTAAAAAACAATAGGAAAAAAAGAAAAAAGTAGCAATGGGGTTAATAAGAATTTTAGTTGCTATAATCCTAATTATAGTCGTTATAATAATTATTTATTTACGCGGAAAATGTATCAATGTCAGTAAGGCTATCAGACATGATCCGATTCATGAAACAACATTACAATCCACCATCAGTCCAACAACAACAAAATTCTCTGAAACATTACAAACCACCATCAGTCCAACAACAACAACAACAACGTCCTCTGAAGTACTTCAAGAAACAACATTACCATCCACCATCAGTTCAACAACAACAACAACAACAACAGAGTCCTCTGAAGAATCTAATATAATCATCTCAAAGTTGGAATCATTATTCTCCCCGTTTATCAGATATAAATACCTATAAAGGTCTCGTAATTATTCCTAAACCACCAATTTCGTATAATCCTAAGAATAGAATCGAAAGTGAGAATACAATCATTAAGCCTTTTAATAGCTTCCTTTTAAATTACAATAAAATCCACAGATATTTAGATAATAATATTGTCTCAAATAACACAAATTATGTATGGCAAAATTCTAGTTACGACAAGGGATATTATACCAAAAATCCAATTATTTTAATATTTCCTTGGAATATCAATGATTTGAAACCTAATGTTTATACATATCAAAGTGAAATACAAGATGTTAAATTACAAAACCATATAAATGCAGTACGGACCAAATCACATAATAAAAGAAAAAAATTCGACATGGACAAATTGTGGATATCATGTACGCATGCGGCAAGTCAAGATATATTTATTCAGGGATTCTCTAAGTATGATTTTCCAATTAAAGAAAATTCATTACCACCATTTGTGGTAATGAAACTTGAACTTCAAGATGGTAATAATGAGGTGGAATGTAAAATGGTGGCTAAGAACATTAATTCCTCAGAAACCTTTGCTAGCATTAAATTTAATATCTATGTGGAAATCTCGGAAGAAGAACAAGAAACAGGAGGAAGATCAGGACTCCTCCCTGATATGGTTTCCGATTATGAGTCCAGAAACGTAATATTCGAGAGAATGTAAAATTATGGTATCCTGTATTCAATGCAAGAAATAATTATTTTGAATGCTGAAAAATCAACATTGAATGTCCTATTCAAAATAATGTGCGTTTCATTTCATTTCAATAAGATAAAATTAACATTGGACTTCAAAATAGGTATTTTTTTCTCACCCCATAAAAAATGAGTGAAATTGTTAAAACAATCTTGAGTATGGTACATTTCCCTGAGGATGGGACCTCAGGTTTAAGAGAACGTATAAATATAAAAACTTATTTAAACAATGTTTCTGCTAAAGATGATGATGAAACATGAACAATCATATTACAAAATAAATTGTTTCATTTATTTGATCAATCTGATCGATACATAAAATTAATAACTAAAACATATCCTCTTATTAAAAGTCAATATCAACAAAGGGAAACCATAGCTTTATTAAATAAACAATATGATGAGTGTAATATGGAAAAAAAATTCCTAGAGACTGCAATAGCAGAAAAAGAACGCGAAATACTCGATTTAAATAAACACGTTGACAAGTTTACAACTGAAATAGAAAAACAAAAAAATATAATAAACAAAATAGAAATTGACAACAATGAATATGCAGAAGAATTGAAAACCCAAGTATTGTATTTAGGTCAATTAAAAGAATGTGAAGATAAAATAGAGGAAAAAGACAAACAAATAAAAGAATTAGATAATAGAAAAATAGAAAAAGACAAACAACTAACAGAAAAAGACAAACAAATAACAGAATTAGGTAATCAAATTAAACAGTTATATATTCTAACTAATTCAAATAATACTGAAATAAAATCTAAAAATGTTGAACTCAAAAAAAAACTACAACTATGTACCACACAATTATCTGAACAAACACAAAAAATAAATAGAATAAATGAAGAATTAACTCAAAGTTATAGATATATTACCGAGTTAAAGAGTTCTTTAAACGATTGTGAAAGTGATAAAAAAATAAAAATTGATATAACTGAAACTTGTAAACGAGAAATAAATGAAAAACAAAAACAAATAGAATTTTTGAATCTAAAGCGGCTTAATGAAAAACATCAACTAGAAGAAACTTACAAAAATGAACTTGAGAAATGTAACTACGAAAAACATGAACTAGAAAAAACCTATATGAAACAACTTGAGGAACAAAAACAAGCCCATCAACGGCAATATGAGGAGTTATTATCACTCAAAACAAAAGAACTTGAGAAACATCAACAAGAAGAAGAAACTTATAAACAACTTCAGGACCAAATGCTAAATAAATATAAGGAATTATTGGTGAATATAAACACAATAAATAATTTTAATAATACATTATTTAATAATTTTTTTAAAAAATCTATATTATCAAATAATGATATAACTGAATGTTTTTCAAATATATTGTTTATAAATAATAGTTATTCAAGTGAAAAAAATAAACTAATTGAAGAAATAATAATAAAGATTATTGATCATTTTAATACAGAACACAAGAATTATATTCAACAAGAACACACAAATAGAATGGCTAAGTTAAATGACATTATTAACAATAGTAATTATAATAATAATGATCTACAACCTGAAAATATAGCAAATATATTATTTACTAACGAGGAAGAAAGAGGGTTATTTAATCATATACTAAATAGTTTCAAAACTAATATTACTGATGAAATAGTAGAAAAACACAAAAAAGAATTAATGCCTTATGTTGATTTAAATGTTGTTTTAAAGCGTCAGTTACAAGAACCAAATTATTTGGCTAAAATGTTAGTAGATGAACTTGCATCTATGGATTTAGTTAAAGAAAAGATAATAGAACAACTTGCGGATTTATACAAATATACAAAAGAAACAAATTATGAAGTTATAAAGGTATATACTTTTATTACAATTATATATACAATTTATCAGAACGAACTTAAAAAAGATTTTAGCATACGAAATATAAAACACTTTTATGTAATTATCTTGCAAGTGATTCACAAATCATATGGTGATACTTCTAAAATATTAGCCATTCAACAAATGCAGGAATCAGAAAATTCGATATTAAAACAAACAAATAAAGAAATGAATTCTAAAATGTTAGTCATGACTTCTGAATTAAAAGAATCGAAAATACATTTGTCGATGATTAATACAATTGACGTTTCTTCAGACTATGATGAAACTCTAGTAGAAAAGTTCACTTCTATTATCAGAACTATTATTAATGAACTCGATGCTTACCTATCAGAGAAGTGCCGAAAAAAGTATTTGTTATTAGCATTCGATCAGATTAAAGTAAAAGAAATATTTTGTAGGAATAGTGTTGCCAAAAATGAAATGAAACAATTATTCTATTCTCTTTCGAATCATATTTCTAAATTTATATTCTGCGCCCAGTTCTATAAAAATCTTGTTACGGTAATAAACGATAAAATTCTTATGCCTTCTATTCAATTAAACCTATATTTTTCACAAAACCTATATGACATCGATACTATGAAAACAGCTTTATTAAACTCCCAAAATATAAAGAAAGCTATTAAAACCCCTTCTGTTTTTCCCATTATATATAATATTAAGGGTTTAACACTGATTGGAGAAAAAATTAACATTAACGACGATGAAATTTACAAAAACCAAATAGTGTCTATTGATAACAAGGATAACAATTTAAAATTACTTACATTATTGAACAGTGATGATATTGAACAAGAAAAGAAATGGTTTATTGAAACACAAATAATAAAGAAGTATTTAAATGTAATCGGCGATGAAATCATTTTAAAAACAATTTCCTCTCAGAAAGTTTCATCACAGGAAACAACAAAAACATCAAAAACATATAAAACAACAGATTCGGGGACAAAACAAAAAGATGCCAAACAACGATCAAAATTAAATACCCAAGACAGACGAAAAAATGAAATATTGACTCTGAAAAAGAATCAAAGAGGAAAACAGTTCATGAATAGGAGAGGAACAGATGGAAAGCAATTGGAAGAGGAAGTTGATATTAATCCAATAAATGACACCAGTTCATCAGTTGAAGGTAAAGAATGAGGATATTAAACCAATAAATGACACTAGTTCAATAGTGCTAGAAGAAAAGAAGGAGGTTGAAAAGGAAATAGAAGAGGATGTAATAATGCTAGACGAAAAGAAGGATGATAAAAAGGACTTTTTTTTTTGGGGGGGGGGATAATAATAAAAAAATTAAAAAAAGGAGTAGCAGGTCGGGGAGTAGGCAAATTAACTCAACTCCAAAAAAAGAGGGAAAGAGAATAGAAAGATTTTAAGAAAACATTCAGCCTTTGATTATATACTACTTATCCATTAAATTATGTGTTTATGATCTAACAAAATAATCAGAATTAGAATTTAGTAATCGGCCTATATTAATAAAAATATAGAAAATATTAATGAAAATAACTTGTATTGATTCAGCAACCTATGGTGGAGGGAGGGGGATGGGATAGTGGTATAAAAGGAGAATTTCTGCCTATTTAAGAGTCACAAACCCTTGCTCTCTCTCCAGCTCCAGTGTCAGGTGTACAGTCTACTGAAATTAAGCAGTTTATCATTCAGTAGGGTAGTGGCGGGCGTCATTACAGTTTAACTATTGATCCATATGCAGTCATCTAGTCCATCAAGAATTACATAACAACAAGCTTCAATAATCAATTCCTTACCAGTTCAGTTTATGAATCAAATCATAAAAAAAACCACACACTCTATTTCTTATTGTTATAGTACCTACATTAACTACTTATGTGCGCAATGATCAGGTACAAGGAACAAGTCAGAATATACCACTTCCTAAGCCATTTGGAAACATATAAAGAGAGTATAGTGTAAAATGATTGACTTGTAATTATTTGTCTCTTTCAGGTAAATTAACATTTAGAGATTGATTTTTTATTCATTATACTACAGTAAAACACAATTATAATAGTAATTTTAATTTATTGTTATTCGTTCTTTCCTCCCTCTATCCTCCCCCACCCCTTGTTTCCGAACTGATGAAGGGTTTCGAGATAACTACTAACTCTTCTGGGGAAGCAAAAGAACAAGCTGAAAGAGGTCAAGCTGCATCTGTCTTACTTGAGCAAATGTCTTGTTTGGTTGAATCAACGGTAAAAGCAAGGTCATCTTCTTCATCTTCTTCCTCATTATCGTCTTTATCGTCGTCCTCATCGTCGTCCTTATCGTCGTCCTCAGACGCATTCGAAAGTGACCGGTTGATTGACAAACTAAAGGGCTTGGTACTAAATAAGGCCATAAAGAGAAAGATGAAGAAGAAAGAAAAGGCACTAAGGAAGCTTGATTCTAGAAAAATCAAATGGCCATGGTCTTCAGATGGAGATGATGACACCAAGTCAGGGGAGGAATGGGAGAAGCAGGAGAATGTGGAGGAACGTGTCTTCGGTCAGGAAACAACAACAGGCACAGGTATGTATTTGTAATTAACTTTACTAATAAGAGGATTAATTTCAGTTGTACGTTATTTATTTTTTTGTGATTAAAAGTTTTTTTTTTTTAATCTGTGAATTCCTATGCTCTGTTAAAATTTATTCGGTAGAGAATATATTAATGTCTTTCTTATTTGCTACTACACAGCTCCGCAACTTCCCAAAAAGAGATGTCGAAGTGACAGACACTAAATGGAAGATAGAAGTTGTTCAGACCATTCGGAATTTACTTTTTTTTTTTTTTTACCGAAGCCATCATGGATAAAATCACACAGACTGGAGAAAAAAATGAGGAATGCCTGTATAGCAGAACCTTGAAACCGGTTTCTGAATGTTGTTGGCTGCATTGTGGTGGCTTATTTCCCCAAGAAAATACTTTTACAAAATAAGCATGAATGGACAGTTCAATCAGAAAATAGTAGTAGTTGTTAGTCACTCTAAATAAATAATTGGGGTAAAAAAAGGTAAAAGAATGAGATACTGAATATATTATATTATTTCCACAAATTAATTTATTTTATTATCCTACCCCAACCCAAATTTTTCCAAAAGGCTCCCAGGCCCCCACCTTTTTCTAGTATTTGGGCAATTTTAAATTCAAATTCACTTTTTTACGTAACTTCTTCAACCCAGCAGCCAAAAGCACCCGTGTCGAGCAATAGTGGGATCGCATCCGTGAGTGGGCGTCCCGGCGTCCCGTAGCAGTCATACTCCCCAATTTCATTAACTTTCTGTCGCCCACAAGTTAAGGTAAAGAAGCTGCGCTGAAAAAAAAAATGAAACAATGCTTATTGATGTCACAGAGAGAACATCAATACACCTCAATCAAAAGAATATTGATTAGAAAAAACGATGAACACCACCAACCTCAAGCAGAAGAATACTGATTTAATAAAAATTTTTGGACCGTTGAAGGTTGAAGTCAACATTTTTAAAAGTGATATTTTAGATAAAGTGTTGAAAACCTTGTGATCAAACTCATGGCGGCGAAGTCCACCTAGTAATGTAATAGCTGGTTGCCCGGAGCAGTACTGTGTCAGTTGAGCCATATATATAAATATTCGTTGCCGCCGACCACTCTCACTCTTATATTACATCCACTGATGGCCAGCTTCGCTGCTCTTCCAAAGAAAAAGTTGTCCGAGATGCTCTCTCCTCAGATGAACCCCAGGATGGAGAATAGGACACAAGATACGCTGAAAAAAACCTTGAAACTATGCTGGGAAGAGGAAGAGGAGACACTAATATTGAATATAGAGAAAGAGTTGTTACAAATAATCCACGACATCAAGCTGAACAACACCAACCTCAAGCAGAACAACACCGACATCATCAAGCAGAATGAGACAATATTTTTGAAGACAGACCAAGAGTTGTTACAATTAATCAGCAAAATAATCACCAACATCAAGCAGAACAACACCGACATCAATCAGAACAACACACTATTGAAGATGATAGAGCAAGAGTTATTAAAAATAATCACTTACCTGAAGCAGAACTACACCGACCTCAAGCAGGAGATTGATGATTTAAAAAATGAAATTAAAGAGTTGGAAGGCTGAAACAACCCGCCTTTCTTTTGAGGAATTGATATGTGCAACCACTTGGAAGTCATATTAATTTATAATGGGACCAAAGAGCCAATGTTATTCAAAACTTCCGCACAGTGACTGACGTGACATCACCGACCTGACTGACGTAGAATATACATCATTGGATTGATAGATGAAGAAGAAGAATACAAACCTCTGGCAGGAGATTGCTGATTTAAAAAAAAAAAACTTTCGAACAGTTGAAGGCTGCCTCATTTCATTTTTAATTCCACTGTAATTTTCACTAAATAAAAGTGTGTATGAATTATAAAATATATTGCTTTATTTTTTTTTAATTTTGCCTTTATTATTCTAGTGTACATAGGTAGGGGAATGGGGGCACCTTTTAATTTCACTGTAATTTTTCACTAAATAAAAAGTGAGCCCAGAATGGGAACAGATGTAGTATAATTAAAAAGTAAGATGATAATGTCAGTATGGCTGGCACTAGTTCCGGTGAGTGTCAGTACAAGTTGTCATATGTCGGTATTGTGAAGACTGTCTAGATACGTGAAGGTGGGTTTGGAGTATCCCACGCTGGGCTGGATGCCCATTCATCTTTAAAAATTCGTATGTACAAAGTAGTGGGTAATTTTTCTTCATATTTAAAAAAACTACGGATAGTTAATTGGATGAGGGTATACTCACACACAACATATTTGTGTTTTTTCAGGTGGTAACTTAAGTTGTCATCACACCCATTAAACAAAACCAATTCATCATCTTGAAATACTACTTTAATATGGTCTATTTCAATTTTTTCCTGTGATGAGGCCTTCGACATCAAAATCACTTGATAGGTATTTTCAAGCTTGACTCCATTATTTTGTCTCATGAATAATTCATATTTTATTCCCCACTTTAGTAGTATTTCTTCAAGTTTTATTAACATAATCTTTACAGATTCAATTTCCCATATTTCATTGGGGTTAGTAGGGTTGGGTTCAGTCTTTACAGATTCAGCTTCCCATATTTCGTTGGGGTTCATTGCTTTGCCTGTAGGGTTGGGTTCACTCAGAGTCTTATCATTTTCAAAATTTGCTGTTGTCTCGTTAATATCAGTCATAATGGTGATCTATTTCAAATCTGTGAATGTAAAAAAAAAAAAAATATGTTAAGGCATATGTAACTTAACTGATCAATCAACATTTTTATCTAAGATAGTATAAGGTGATGCAGGACTAATAATTAGAGTAAGACCAAACAAGACCCTACCTTACCCAAACTAAGTCAATATAATTATATTATCTTATTATATTATAATATTATCAAAGTGGACTCACTAGATACAGCACAGGACTAGGGTTGTAACTGACAGTTGAATTCTTTTATATCTATCTTTTCAATTCTGACTTGAGGAGTAGGAGGATGAGGAGGAGGAGGAGGGGTAGGGGTGAGTTAAATCGCCTTCAAGTATATAAAAGCGTTATGCCCAGTATTATTACCTCAGTGTTAAGTGGTCTGATGCAGCATGCATATGTCCATAGTGATAACTATTTAATATTATTTAATTGTTGACATATACAACAACTATGGATTCACCACTTTCTATAAATATGTTAATGATGACCCTTGATAACATATACCAAAAAAAGATGAAAGAAAAACTTCCAGATACATTTGGAGCATCATTTCAGAAGATGATTTGCTATGCTGAAAACAGTTTAAAGTCTTCGGAATTGTAAGTATCATTATTATAATATGTTAATAATATATATCATATATATATTTTTATAATATCCATACCCCAATAAATTATTACTTCTTATTTTTTTTTCTTTTGTTTGTAGGTATGAAAATCTTTTAAAAACATTGAAAGAAAAAAAGAAGATAAAAAGAATAAGTGCAAATGTCCCACATGGAATCCTATCCCCTGAAGACGACCCTGCTATTCTTCATGATATAAAGGTCAACTGCTATGGCCCTGATGACACAATCTACAACAATGATCCTGAAGTTCGAAAAAATGTTCCTCGTGGTGTAACACTCTTGGAGTTTAAGGGACAGTTTGATTTAGTGATCTTTGCCAATAAAAAATTTACTGGTGGTATTGGTGATGAGGATGATAAACAACCGGAAACAAATGATCTATGGAAACAATATTGCTTAGAAGATCTCAGTACTACTACTTCTAAAGTAGTTTGTATGACTAAAGTGAATGGTGAATCAGCTCATTTCAGTGGCAGATACATTAATGGTAAATTTTTTTTAATTACTGGGAGTAAAAGTGTTCATATGTTAATTGGAGAAAGGGAAGACATTGAGCGGTATGATGGAGAACGTTATGTTGTTGCTAAAGTTGTGGCCAGATCACTGTGGGATACATTGAATAATATGGATATTATGAATCGACATTTGGTATATAGTATCTTACACTATACTAAATGTACAGCTGTGTGTGAGCTTCTTCAACCTGACAACCAACATATTGTTAACCTCAGTCACTTGGATAAGCATCAACTCAACGTTATCTGTTTTACTCCATTGTACAACGAATATGAAGAGACTAGCCTTCTTGCATTACCTCCACACTACACACTCAACCTGTTTACGGCATTAGGCTTTACATCTCCTGCCTATTCAATAATTGAAGCTAAAGATGTAGTGAAACACCAGAATAAGGTAGGCAAACAAAAAGTCTATTGTACAAGGAAGTGCCAATTTATATTGTCACATTTTTCAATACAATTTCTTTTATGAAACTATATTATTAAATTATTTTTACAGGTGCGAAGTGATCTTTACAAAGAAGGTGAAGTTTTTTATTTTCTAAATGAGAATGAAGAAACAATTGGAATGATAAAAGTAAAAACAAGATGGTATGTAATACTTAGAGCCTTGAGGGAA